CGTTTACCCACATCCATCCCCCACCCCAGACTGTTCCTCTGCTCCTAGTCTCTGTCTCTGCCCAAACTATTACAGCCATCATCCTTGATCCTGCCATCTTTCTCTCCTTCCACGTCTATTCTGGTTTTCTACTGCTGTATAACAAACCACCTCAAAACGTAGTGGCCAACAGTTGGGGCTGGCCAGCGGCTGGGAGCTTAGCTGGGGCTGCCAGCCAGAGCGGCTGTGTACGTGTGGCCTTTTCACTTGCCTTGTGCTTCTCACAATGGTTGTGTTCCCAGAGTACATGTTCCAAGAAACAAGAAATGCCCATCTCTTAAGGCCTGGGCACAGCGTCACTTCTGCCTTATTCCGACTGTCAGCATGGTTACAGAGCACACCCACACCGGGACAGGGGAGCTACAGAATGTATCTCTCCACGGGAAGAGTATCGGTGAATTTGTAGCCATCTTTAATCTGCCACAATACCCCACTAAATTCTGGCTATTCCACCTCAAAAGTCCCTTCTCTCACCACCACCACCCTAGTATAGACCACCAAGTTCTCTCCTAGGTCACTGCAACACACCTTCTTAATTGGACACCTGGTCTTCAGTTCAGGTGGTCCAAAACGGATCCCTATATTATAGCCAAAGTGATCTTGGACTATAAAATAGAGGTAGGAGGATCACTTGAGCCCAGGAGTTCGAGACCAGCCTGAGCAACATAGCAAGACCTCATCTCTACCAAAAAAGAAATTTGAAAATTAGCTGCACATGGTAGCACATGCCTATAGTCCCAGCTACTTGGGAGGCTGAGGCAGGAGGATCGCTTGAGCCCACTGCAGGCGTCTGAAGACTGTAGTGAGCTATGATGGAGCCACTGCATTCCAGCGAGCGCAACAGGGTGAGAACTTGTCTCAAAAACAAAACGAAACAAAACAAAAAAAGTGATCAAGATGATCTTGTCTTTAAGATCTTTCATGGGTCTCCTTTGCTCTTAGGATAAAGTCCAAACACCTGGTCATTTCCTAACATGAGCTTGAATGATCTGGCCCTGAATTATTACCTGTTCTACCAAATCTCTCACCAAAACCCTCCTCCACCCTACATTATATTTTCTACCTTTCTTTACTTTTGTTTTTTTGTTTTTTTAAGAGATGGGATCTTGCTATTGCTATGTTGTCTGGGCTGGACTTGAATTCCTGGCCTCAAGCGACCCTCCCACCGCAGCCTCCTGAGTGGCCGGGATTATGGGCGCGTGCCACCACACCTGGCTCCTCGTCATAGTTTCTGATTGGGTTGCTGTATCAGTCAGTGTCCAGTCTGAAAGACAGAAACCACTCTAGGTATTTTAAACAGAGACAATGTAATATAGGGAGTTGATTTCAAAATGGTTGAAAGAGCTGGAGGGGCAAAAAGATAAGGTTACCTGCCCAGAGATCTGGAACTGCCTGAAACTCTAGGCTGCAGCTAGAGGGAGGCTGGTGTTACCCAACGCTTGGCAGTGGTGTTACCCAATGTGCTGCTGTGGCTGACGGAGCTCCAAGTCGGCCACCACCACTACTGCCACTGCAGAGCCCCTCTGTCGCTGAAGCTGCTGAAGTGACCACTGCCGCATTTTTGTTGGATCCCAGGGGGCCCCACCCACTGGCAGCTGCTGCTGCCACTAGAGGCAGTGCCACCAAAGCAGGAGACATGGCTTCTCCTTCCTCCAGTCTTCCCCAGTGCTTTCCCCTGGCAGTGCCTGGCCAGAAGCCAGTTTGCAGCGGGATCTGGGAAACGTGATTTGCAGGCGTCAGTCCCTACAACGCAGAGGAAATGGCTCCGTTTCAGGAGTGGAGCTGAAAGCTACCAGGCAGGTGACTGGCACGCTGCACCCCACATTTTTGTGGGTGCGCTCCCCATGCTCCGTCCTATCTGAGCATTTCCTTCACTCTGTCTGGACTCCCTGCCATCCTCCTACTTGGCCTTGCTTAAAGTCTCCGTGCATATGTCACATCTTCCAGCGATCTTTCCTTAATTCCCCAGTCTGGATGAAATTCCTCT